ATATTTATTTATACATTCCAAAATTTCACCAAGCATGTTTATACCAACTATTTTCAAAAATGTTTCTATTTCATTCTTTATATCCTTAGCATGGTTTTAGGCCAGGTAACACTCACAATATTCATCTTATTCGTCTTTGAGCAGTTCGCATACTTCTGATTTTGCCACTTAGAAGATTTATCCTTACTAACATAGAATATATCATCATGCTTCCATTTTTCTATATCATTATTACTATCATCATTTGAAGTATATTGCTCAGATTTAGTGTTGATATTATTAATCTCAATATTTTCCTCACTCAGATAGCTATTATTCTTGCATCCACAGCTTTCCTTGTCTTCTTTTTCTTCATCAGATAATTCTTGAAGAATGCGAGCAAAATCAGCTGGTTGCACATATTATTTGCCATGAAGACCGATATAAAAATTATAGAATTTATACAAATTAAAATAATACACGTCAATTAATAACACAAAATTACAAAATATTTGAGAAAAAAATACATTCCGAATTTTCACCCACTACCACGCACGTGTCGTAACTTTTACGAAGAAACTGCCACGTAACGCAAAAGCCCAGTAAAAAAAAAAAAAAAAAAAATCATATGGCTTGCTGTTGACCCATTCTATGATGTGCGAGAAGTGTGCATTGAAAACCGAATTTGTCGTAAACTTTGCGCATAGCGCACGTGCTGGAAGGTTAAGGATGTCCGCGAGCAGGGATCTTGGAAGTATCAGCTACCATCGAAATGCCATGCGATTCGAACTTCCGGTACAAGGCACCGTTTTGAATATGGTGTAAGTTCCAGAGATCCAGTGTTCTTTTGTTGTAAGACTATAGATCGGAATGTCTTGCCAACTATTTTTCCAGTTTGAAGAATCTATTAAATCCGTTATGGGTTTAATGTCGCCATCTTCCACCTAGTCTTTTCTGACTTCATCGTTCCATAGGTCTCGATAAGCGATGTTAAAGTTATAACTTGTCTTAAGACCGGATTAACCAGCTCGTATATCGCTTCGACCCTGGAAAGATATCGACAGCTTTCTGGGCAGAGTCTTCTCGACAGGGCGTCGGCGTTTCCGTGTGTTGATTCCTTTTTATGATAGATACTTATGTCATATTCCTGGAATCTTTGTATCCTTCTCGCACTTCGGCCTTCAGTATTCTTGAAATTTAATAGCCATGCCAATGATGCACAATGTGTGCGGAGTAGGAATTTTCTGCCGTTGAGATAATGGTGGAACCGTTCTATGGATTTAACTGTGGCAAGTAACGCATTTCTAGTGACACAGTAATTCCTCTCCGGTTTAGGCAAAATCAGCACCGACATTTTCATTGCTTGCATCTGTGTCAAGAATAAAAGGTTTGTCGGTCTGATCATATGTACAGATTGTCGCAGATTTCAAAGCCCTCTTAAATTTGTTAAATTCATCCTCAGATACTTTTGCCCACAAGAGCTTTTGCGTGTTGTCTGTCAGTTTGTGAACGTGTATCGCGATGAAAGAAAAGTCTTTCACAAATCTGTTGTGCAAAGCCCCAGGAAACTCCTCTGCTGATGGAAATTTTTGGGGCGTCTCCAGTTTTGAACTGAGGTTATTTTTCTGGATCAATCACACATGACTTAAGCAGATATCGCATGTCCAAGATAAGTTATAAGATATTTTCTCCTTCCTCCCAGTATGCCTTCGTGGTCTAACCGTAGAACACTGGCGTGTAGCCGTGAGGTCCAGGTTTAATTCTGGAGAGGACATTGCATATTTTTCACATCCTCTGCTTCAAAAACCTGAAACTCTGCATTGGCGCCCAAAAAGCTGATGGATAACTAAAAAGCCAAACTAAAAAGCTGATGGATAACGGCATCTTTTTGAGCTATCAAAGTCCTTGAACTCGGGTTAATTTTATGGATCAACACACACGACTTAGGCACGACTAGTATAGGCCCGACTTACTTATGTTGTAAGTACAATGTTACATCAGGACTCCCACTTAGTACTGGCAGTTAGCATCTTTGACGGCCAGTCAAACTTCCATAGGTCCGAATAGGTCACGCTTCATAAGTAAAACCGAGAACAGTATTCTAGCGAGAGTATGCAGGGAGTGGAGCGAACTCGGGCCTGCTCCCTTTCACTGAAACTCATTTTCGCAAAACAATGCTATGCTTTCAGTCTAATACAGGAAATAGTTGTCGCGAACGACGCACTTTCCGCTCTTGGGGAACGGATTGAGCCTCCAGACCGACGAGAATTGAAAAAGAAAGTTTGTTTTTTGAGAACTGGCAACGATAAGTGTATGCTTTTAGAACAGTGACGCAGTAGACTAATGACGCTGTTAGATATATAGAACAATGATGCTAAGTAGTTAGAAGTGATTTTTTGATAGTGTAATGATTTAGATATTGTTCCTCTTTTGTGTCAAATGTCAAATAAAGTGATTCATACAAAATAGTGCCAATTTTAGATGAGTTTGGAACCAAATCGGAGTCTACTAAAGCGGCGGACCAGAATCGAAGAAAGCGGATCATAAAGGTAAGCAACCTTTCTTTATTTGCTTATCTAGAATTTTGAATGATCTGTTTTTTACTGAATTGAAACGATATAAAATTTTTTGGCGCCCGAACAGGGACCGCCGATGTAGACTATATTGAAGTGAAAGATTTAGGAATGTTTAAAAAATATCTTCTTTTGATTTGAGAAGTTTATTTATGATTTGAGAGTACTGATTTTAATTTGAAATATTTTCTATCTGAAATATTTAAACATGTCTACTAAAATAGAAGAATTAAAGAAAAGACGAACTGTAGTTAGGAGTATGACAACAAAGTTGATAAATAATTGTAAAGAATACCTCCAAGAAACAGAACACGATTTGTGTATTCTTAATGAAAATATTGATTTATTAGATTCAAAATATAACAGCCTAAAAGAATTAGATAAACAAATACAAGAATTAATTGAGGCTACTGAATATGAATCGGAATTTGAAACTTGTGAAGTTTATTCCGAGAAAATAATTTCCATGAAATCAAAACTAACATTTATGTTAAAAGAGAATAGGAAACCTGAAATTCCTGTTTCGAATACAATTGGTAATATTGTGAATAATGATATTTCAAATATTTCTGTATCTCATTCAAAAATTAAATTGCCTAAATTATCGATCAATAAATTTAATGGCGATCCTGTTAATTGGTTATCATTTTGGAACCAGTTTGACAATGCGATACATCAGAATAGTGATTTAACAGATACAGACAAATTTAATTATTTGATATCATTTTTATCAGGTGCTGCTTGTAATGCTGTTAGTGGTTTTGCATTATCAAGTGAAAATTATTTTGCCGCAATCGAGTTACTTAAAACACGCTTTGGTCGAACAGATTTAATTATAAATGCACATATGGGAAAACTGTTAAATTTAGAACCTGTTAGGAATGCTAACAACATATTTGCATTACGTAAGTTGTATGATGATATCGAAATACAGATAAGAAGTTTAAAATCACTTAATGTAACTTCTGGCACATATGGCACGTTATTGACACCAGTTTTATTAAAATTAATTCCGAATGAACTGAATCTTGATTTCCAAAGAAAAAGGAAATCGAAAGATAATTTCGATGTAAACGAATTATTAGAGTTCTTGAAAACGGAAATTGAGTGCCGCGAATCCATGCTACAAATTCAAGATAAAATAAACAACCATAATTCGAGCCACTTTCCTAAAGAAAAAAGAATAAATAAAATTTCTATTCCAACGGCTGCTGTGTTAAAGGTTTCAATTAACAGCTGCATATTTTGCGAGGATTCAGAAAAAGAAAAACATACTTCCGAAGCTTGCCCGAAGTCTGTAACAGACAGAAAGGCGTCACTTCGGAAACTCGGAATGTGTTATTTATGCCTTAAAAGGGGTAACCATTTGGCAAAAAATTGCTTTTCGAAGATAAAGTGTGATTCATGTGGGTGGAAACACAACAGTTTAATCTGTGACAGAAATAGTTTAGATGAGAAAAAATCAAATAAGAAGGATCTCAATTTGACGAACAAATCATGTTTAGAGAAAGTTTTATTACAAACTTTAGTTGTAAGAGTGCGTGGCAATGGTCCAGAAAAATACTGCCGCTGTTTAATTGATTCTGGGAGTCAACGAAGCTATGTATCTAAATTCTTAGCTAATGCTATGCAGTACGAATGTATTAACGAAAGCAGTGTGATTCATAGTCTGTTCGGAGGAACTGAAGTGGTTGAAACTCATAAACAGTTCGTTGTACGTTTAAGTAGTATCAAAAACGATTATCAGTGTAACTTCAAAGCTTTTGATCAAGCGAATATTTGTTCTGATATTCCACAATTGAACATCAAGCCTTATTTAAATGAGTTAAAAACCCATAACATATTTTTGAATGATGTTGAAGGTAGGCATAAAAAATTGTTGTTCGAGCATTCTCCTTCTGAAATTCATATCCTCATAGGCGCAGACATAGCGGGAAAATTGCTTACAGGGAAAATAAAGAAGTTAGAATGTGGATTAGTTTGCATTGAAACTTATTTAGGCTGGAGTATCATGGGGAAAATTCCCGTAGAAATGGAAAATAAATATGATTGTTCTTATGCATTTTCTATGTTAGTATCAGATAGTAAAATTTCTGATTTATGGAAACTTGATACTCTTGGGATATTAGACCCTTCAGAAAGTCAAACTAAAAGGGAATTAGAAAAACAAACAATGACACATTTTCTTTCCAATGTGAAAAGAGATGAAGAAGGAAGGTTTCAAGTTTGTTTACCTTGGATTGAAAATCGTTCCCTACTTCCAAACTATCGAGAAATAGCAGAGAAAAGAGATTAAAGAGCACAGTGAAGAATTTAAGGGATGGGGGATTTTTAGAAGATTATAACGCAATTTTTAAATCTTGGGAAGATGATAAAATAATAGAGATTGTTCCTGAGGAAGAAGTTAATAACCCCTCTCATTATTTACCCCATCGTGCTGTTATTCGAATGAATTCCACCACGACAAAAATAAGACCGGTTTTCGATGGATCCGTAAGAACTAAAGGATCACCTTCCGTAAATGACTGTTTGGAAAAGGGTCCAAATTTGATTGATACTGTTCCAGCTATAATAAATAGATTTCGACTGGGAAAAATTGGCGTGAGCGCTGATATTAAGAAGGCTTTTCTGCAGATAGCACTTAATCCTAAAGACAGAGATTATTTAAGATTTTTATGGTGGGAACAGGGAAATTCTGAGCGTTTGAAAATATACAGGCATAGAAGAGTGGTCTTTGGAATAACCAGCAGTCCATTTCTCTTAAATGCAACACTAACGAAATTAATGAATGAAGTACCAGAAAATTATCGTGCGAGTGCTAATAAATTAGTAGAATCCTGGTACGTTGATAATTTAGTTACAAGTGTGAATGATGAATCAGAATTAAAGAAGTTAAAAAATGATGCCACTGAAATTTTGGCAAGTGCTAAATTTGAATTACAAGAGTGGGCATATAACTATCCTCGAAATAAAAGGGATGCATTTGTTGTTGAACCCATTTTAGAACAGTGGAAGCTTGATAAATTAAATGAGAATGAGTTTTTCGATGATCCCTGTGAAGCTAAAACGGTCAACATTTTGGGACTTCTTTGGAATTTGCATGATGACACATTGTTGTGATATTAAGGGATTAAATGAATCAAAAAAACAAACCTGTTACTAAAAGAACAATTTTGTCTGAAATTCATAAAATTTATGACCCTATTGGATTCACCTGCCCTATAATTTTAATTCCTAAAATTCTGTTACAAAACTGCTGGGAATTAAAAGTAACTTGGGATGAAGCTCTTCCTGAAGAAATTCAAAGGAAATACATGAAATGGAAAAATGATGCAAATCGTTTAACAGAAATAAAAATTCCTCGACAGATGATGCTTAATATTGATTCTGAATTGAAATTATCCTTTCATATATTTTGTGATGCATCCCGAATGGCATATGCAACCTGCGTTTATTTAAGAAATGAAAATGAAAATAAAGTTTCGTGTCATTTAGTTCAAGCACGATCTAGAGTTGCTCCTCTAAAACCCACATCAATTTGTAGACTAGAATTATTAGCTTGTGTTGTTGGTGCAAGATTAATGAAATCTATAAAACAAGATTTGAAGGAAGAAAATATACCTACGTTTTATTGGACAGATTCAAGGAACACATTGTACTGGATTAAGAATGAAGAAAATTGGGGTGTATTTGTTATGAATAGAGTGAAAGAAATACGAGCTCTTACTAATCCTGATGCATGGAATTATGTTCCTGGCAACTTGAATCCTGCGGATATTCCGTCAAGAGGATGTTCTGTTGAAACTATTAAAGCCAAAAGATGGCATGAAGGTCCAGCATGGTTGAAGTTGAATCCAGACTGTTGGCCTACTTGTGATATTTCTCCTGACAAAGATATGATTGATCGAGAAAGAAGAAAAACAGTTGTATCCTCGTTAACAAATGTAGATGAAGAATTTTCGCATTTCTCACGAATTTCTTCTTTTGAGAAAATAATTAGAGTTACAGCTTGGATAAAAAGGTATATTGATAACTGCAGAGATAAAAACAGAACAACGTCAAAGAACTTAGAAATCGAAGAATTGAATGCAGCTGAAGTTCTTGTTTGGAAAATTGTGCAAAGGGTCTCCTTTAAAACAGAAAAGGATAAACGCTTACGAAATTTAAAACCATTTGTTGATTCATCTGGTCTTTTAAGAGTAAAGTCAAGAATATTAATGAGACAAGACTTCGAAAATTTTAGAACACCTGTAATCCTACCTCCTGAACATCCAGTTGTCTCTAAACTGATTATGGAAAAACATGAACAACAAATGCATTGCGGAACTCAGACTTTAATGGCAATGCTACGAGAAAATTTCTGGATTTTGAAAAGTCGTAAAACTATTCGTAAAGTGTTGAAAAACTGCACTAAATGTAGAAGATTTGATTCGAGGCCCTCCACGGTACAATCCGCACCTTTGCCAAAGGACCGTGTTAAAGATTCTTCTATTTTTGAAGTGACAGGTATCGACTTAGCTGGCCCTTTGTTTTTAAAAAATGGATCGAAAACGTGGATCGTTTTATTTACATGTGCTGTATACAGGGCAATTCATCTTGAACTTTTAACGTCTTTGTCAACAGATAACTTTTTATTGGCTTTCCGACGTTTTTATAGCACGCAGAGGAAGACCTGAAATTGTCTACACTGATAACGGTAGTAATTTTATTGGTACAAATTCGCTCTTAAAAATGATTGACTGGGATAAACTTATTAAAAATCATGTTGTCAACCGCATTAAGTGGAAATTTATCCCACCAGCTTCTCCCTGGTGGGGTGGATTTTGGGAAAGAATGATTGGCCTGATGAAAAACATTCTCAGAAAAGTTTTAGGTAATGCCTCACTGAAATATGAAGAACTCTATACGATCCTCTGTGATTGCGAAAATATCTTAAATTGCAGACCATTAACTTATATTTCCGAGGACTTGGAACTGGAACCCTTGACACCTGCAATGTTTTTTCGTGATCTAAAAGAAAGTGGCGTTCCAGATCTAGATATTATTGATGCCAAATACTTACAAAAAAGGTATGCATATCAGATGAAGGTTAGAGAAGATCTAAGAAAACGGTTCAGAACTGAATACTTAGGACAACTGAAAAACCATATTTTAAAAACAGAGAAATATGTTAAACTATCGGTTGGAGACATTGTGTTAATAGAAACACCTGAGAAAAGAATTAAGTGGCCTCTAGGAAAAATTATAACACTCATCCCAGGAAATGATGGTGTAGTTCGTTTAGTAAAATTACGCACCAAAAGTGGCGAAATCCTTCGACCCATACAACGAATTTATCCGTTGGAAGTCCATTTACAAACGGATAATATAGGAGACTGTTTGAGAAAGAAGCATTCTGATCAAAAAATGTGTGATAAGCCTACAACTTCTATTGGATCTACAGAGTTTCGTGCCACTGACAAAGATCAGTCAAATGAACTCAATCAGAATCCCCTCAAAACAACTAGATGTGGACGAGTGATTCGAACTCCTGAACGATTAAACCTCATGAACTTTCAACCAGACTGTGGCTGAGTTTCAACTTGGTGAAACTCATCGGGGGGAGTGTGTCGCGAACGACGCACGCTCCGCTCTTGGGGAACGGATTGAGCCTCCAGACCGACGAGAATTGAAAAAGAAAGTTTGTTTTTTGAGAACTGGCAACGATAAGTGTATGCTTTTAGAACAGTGACGCAGTAGACTAATGACGCTGTTAGATATGTAGAACAATGATGCTAAGTAGTTAGAAGTGATTTTTTGATAGTGTAATGATTTAGATATTTTTCCTCTTTTGTGTCAAATGTCAAATGAAGTGATTCATACAAAATAGTGCCAATTTTAGATGAGTTTGGAACCAAATCGGTGTCTACTAAAGCGGCGGACCAGAATCGAAGAAAGCGGATCATAAAGGTAAGCAACCTTTCTTTATTTGCTTATCTAGAATTTTGAATGATCTGATTTTTACTGAACTGAAACGATATAAAATTTTATTAAGTGTTTTGTAAGGTATATCCTGAGTTTTTAACAGTTATTTCATACCCTTCATAGCTTTCGCCAGTCTAGTTGATATTTAGGGTAATTATATTTATTTTGAATAATAAAGGGTAATTAACCCTTCTTGAGTTTTACGTCTCTGTTCCCGAACTCAAGCAATTATTCGCTTATGTGTTCACGAGGTTCCTACACATTTAGCTGTTAAATAAAAGAGGGAAATCCCACAGTTCAAATTTAAAAATGATATTCATTAATTAATAAATTATTCAGCTCATATTTATAAAAAATTTAAACATACTGTATTAGCAAAAAAATATGAAATAAAATGCACCAACAAAATTAATAAGTGTGAAACCTTTAAAGGAAATATCAGGATACTTGTGTTTTTATTCTTTGAGCACTATGTTTTCTTTCCTCAACAAAAAAATTAACTTTCAAAAATTTTAACTAAAACACTTCATACAAAATTTAAACCAACTGCACCATATCTCACACATGGTAGTTGAAAACACGTTTTGTAAACGGAGGCCAATGACTGGAAAGCTGAATAATTTTGTAATTGATCTGATGAACTCCTGAGTTTTAAGCACTGGTTAACTGCAAGGTACCAGTTAAATCACAGATGCTGTAATATTGTTGACTTGGATCTGGAATTTGTGTAATGCTCAGGTAGTGGAAGCATACGTAAATGATTAACACAGCACCTCATACACAAATCACGTGAGCCACTATTATGTCTTAAAAGATGCCTGAAAAGAGAAAACAGAAAGCCACAGTTTCTACAAACTTGCACTCTCGCTCACGCCAACTGCTTATTCCTTGTGGGTTGAACAGGCATCGTTATATCTATCTCTGACAGATGGTATCTGTAGGATCTACATAGATTTATTTGCCAAAACAGTAATGAGCGATCGCCTGTGGCAAGCATCATCGAACAATTTCTGGATAGTATGTACACTATGTATAATTATTCCCGTGCTTTTGCACATTCATTGAACTGAAGACGTCTGTCCGTGATCTCAGAATGACTGGGGCGTCACAGATCACACACAACTATAATAGATGAATTTTAGCGTTTGAACTTGCCTTATGGACTCATCTGATCCATGATCTCAGTATAACTAAGCACGTCAATATTAGGAACTTGGAAAAGTTGATGGAGCAACAGAACTTCATCAGTGAATTCACAGATTTACCCCGCCGCACTCCTGTAGCTTATGACGCAATCAAAAACCCCCTAAAACTGTAAAAAATGACCTTTCGCAATAAATTGTTTATTGAACGAATTAAATTTTGTGGGGTTTCATTTAATGTAATTAACCGTTAATTTTATTTTCGAAGAAACCTTTCCTATAGCTCTTGCTTTCAACCGACGCTTTCTTGCCAGAATGAGGTTTCACTTTCGCGCATTATGCAAAATAGGGTAGGAAGCTACTATTTAAGCTGGTGTCTGAGTTACTTCAGACATAGCGTGTTCTGTTTTTCGGCCGCATTGTTTCTCTGTTGCTTAAGCTTCCAGTTACAACTGAAGGCACGTGGTAAGGAGCGAAAAAGTATCTTACAAGCAAATGAGTGCTATTTGAAATGAAAACGGTGCTCGTGGAAGACTTCCTAAAGTAAAATAACACATTTTTGCGTAACTCATGGAAAACTATCTAAACTCGCTCACAGTCAGTTCGGAATAGAAAATCAAGCAAAGCCTCCAGTCTTCAACAGTTTTTACTACGGTTTGATTGCCTTTTGATTGAAGCAGACAGAACATAAAATGCAAGCAAAAATTTTTCCTCTTTAAGGTAAAAAATCTACATTTTCGCAAATCTCACTAACAGGTAATATATGACTACAGTTTACATAGGACTATATAATATGCAAAACAAAAAATTTTAAATCTCTCACCTGATTGATCATATCTTTTCATGTTTACCCTTGTATGGATTCTTCACTTAATAACTAAGATATACACTATTTCCTGGGACGAGGGGACAGCAAACCAAAAAATATTTACACTAGATAAAAAATACTTTTATATCACGCACAGCATGATCTGCAATTCTTTTTCCTTGAAACTTTTCCTTTAGCATTTCCAAAAACGAAAGTGCTTCAGTGGTTTTATCTGCTATCTTTATAGTCACTTTCATCTCACTTTCCTATCCTACGATCGAATTTATTCCATCGAAGTCATTTCCACTGCTTTGAATCATTTTACAACTGTCCCTTCAAATTTAAAAATCTGTAAAAGAATTCTATTTGAATGCTAGATCTTGGACAAAGAATGACATTTTTAAAGTTAGCTAATGTGTATACTGTCAGTGTCAACTTAGAGATGATTCAGGGTATTGAAGTAGATACATTCCGACACTGGTTCCGACAATGGTTGAACACCATTTCGTTTAATAAACTTGTGTAAATTTAAAATGCGATAGTGCTATTAATTATCTCTAACTATTTGAAATATAAAATTTTAATTCAATAAGACTTGATTTTGCACCGTTTACTATTTCTAAAAAAAAGTTTCCTCGTTTATATCTTAATATGCAACAAAAACAAAAGAATTTCCCTGAACATTTTCTCGTTTGTTTCATAATAAAAAATACCGTTAATAATGTTGACGGTGAAAATAACGACGAATTGTATTTCCAAATAAATGAATTGTTTCCTAAATGCTTTCTAATTTTGCCATCTAATTAATGAAAGTTCATCAGTATTTTCCCCAGTTAAGGGAAGAGATTTGGAGTCTGACTTAGAAAGATTCCTCCTATGGAGCTGCTTAGATATTTTATGTAATTGCATATAAATTACAATTGTAAATTTTAGCATTGACAAGAAATTGAGAAAATAGTCATCATCGCTGCTTTGAATAATTATCATTAATTAGTCGAAAGTCAGTTTTTTTTTTTTTTTTTTTTTTTCTTTGACAACATCCGAAAATATCAAAAAGTTCTGCGAAAGTCAGTTTTTTTCTTTGATAATATCCAAAAATTTCAATTTGCCATACGAGAGAGAAAGAAAGAAAAAATTAGTGTATCTCAAGAGCTCAAATTCGACCTGTAAATTGTGTGTGTGTGTGATTATGGCAAAGCCTCGAGGGCTATCTGCCTAACGGAGGGGATGCCTTCGCGGAGGACTTGCTAAGGGAAACTGGCTCGTATACACGTTACACATGGGGAAAACAACAAAAACGCCCATGCAGCCAGCCCGTTCGCGGGATTCAAACCTCGAACCGAACTACCAGTGTTCAGCGACTTTACCGCTCGGCCGCTGGTGGGCCACCTGTACATTGAAATGAAGCTGTTGAAGAGATAAAATATGCAATGGTGTGTACTGCCCAGCAAGGTTTGAAGATGTAATATGCTTCATTCCTTTGTTATTTTATAAACTTAAGTGGCCTTTTCTTCGCTCTCTTAATGGTGTACTTAACGTCCAAAATTAAACCGCATAATTAATTTATGGCACTTAATTTTTTTTCTTTAGGGAGAATTAAAAATCTTCTTGGAAAAAAAACATTGCTCTTTTGAGTTAATCAGTTTAAATAAAAATACTATGGTACTCATTTTTATATTAAATATTACAAAGCTGCAAATCTTAAAATTTAAAGAGGAAATACTTTACTTTTTAAAATATATTTAATATTTTGCAGAAATAT